GGTAACCATTGGTAATGTTCCAAACAGAGCAGTTTATCAGTGGTGCCTATCACCATGAGGCGTCTACTTCACCCATGCACTCAACCTTATGTTTTAATGACACTCAGCACAGCTTTAGACATGATTTAAGGTGGTGCCATCCTTCTTAGAGGTCTGAGAGGAGGCCTCATAGCACACTCGTGTGTTTTTCCTGATTCGTGAGGACATTTGTTGGCATAATCCCTCTGTAGCCCCTCACAGTAACCTTGAACATTGCAGCTAAATGTCTTATGTTCTCACTAAACACAACCTAATTCTAATCTTAAAGATTTCACATTTCCTCATCCAGCAACTTTAAACTAAAACAAACCAAAATAAATTGTTGGACCAAACACACACACACACACACACACACACACACACACACACACACACACACACACACACACACACACACACACACACACACACCTCACCACACCTCTGCCGTCTGTTTCGTCAAACACTACTGAAGGAAATGAGAAAGCTTTTGCCTCTAGATTAATATTATTACTTTGTTTAGCAATCACTGCACTGAATGGCTGGTGGTTAAACATTAAATGTGCTCATAATGGGCCCACAGAGCTTGATCATTCTGTTCTTATTTATACACTTAGATGACTGAGTGTATTGCAGTAAAACTCCCTCGCATGGTTTTATTAGAAGCCAGTTTAAGTTTTAACTTGAATTCAGTTTGTGTGCAGTAATGCTAGTAATTGTTGCCATGACATAAACAATAGTTGGTTAATGTCATGGCAGTGGCTTTTTTATGATGCTGCAGGATTCTAAGTGTCTCCAGTGCAAAGCATACTGTGTGTTTTATTCATGCATCTTATAATTCATCAAAATGCTACATGACTAATATTAAATACTTTGAAGGGTCAGCAGTATAATCGCCGGTACCCCGTCTCAGTTTTGTATATTGTAGCATGTAAGTATCATAAATCTCTCATGCACAGTGTAAACAACATCAGGCTCTACCTTGCTGTGGGATGATCTTTGTGAGATTCATCACAAAGAAAACATTTTTTAAATCCAGATTTTCTCTTTTTTTCGTGGTCAAAAGAGAAGAGTTGGAGTATCAGCATCACTGACTGTTTAAACCTGATAAACTGTTTGTATAGAAAGTGACGGACAAATAGTTTTTTGTTGTTGTTCTTTCAACAGGATTTTCCCCCGGGAATACCTCCTACAGCACATCCACCTGTACTCCCTGGCAGACCTGCAGCAGGTACATGCACACATCCAGAGCTACATGCACACAGCATAGGATGCATATACCATCGAGCATTAAGGGTCTGGGTGAAACATGTTTTGATACTTTAATCATTTGAAAGTCGCCTTCTGTATGTACTTGTGAGAAAGCAGCCATGCACGCTTTGGTAAGCCCATCGTGTCTTTTAAACTGTGACTCTGTGTGACAGCATTGCTCTTTGACTTGGATCAGTCCTGTTTCTGTGTCAAGTATCTCTAATAATAATCAAAAAAAGCTACCACTCATGTGCCATCTGTAGAAATGCACGCAGCTCTCCTGCTCGCCGATAGATTCTGCTGCTGCAGATAAATGATAAACTCAGAATGTGTTCTTGAAGCTGGAAGCTACAAAATCATTTCAGCACCCATTAATATTTTGTTAAAACTCTGGATTGTGTTCAATAGTGGTATATTTGACTAAACCACAATGTTTGTAATAGACTTAAAATTGAGTAGAAGAAAGCATACAGTCCATCAACAGGCCACCTAAAATGTCAGCGCTGAACTGAGCTGCTTGCCACGTTTTTAAATTATGTATTTTCGTGTTTGAATACAAATTGAAGGTTTAATGTAGAATAAGGCATAAAGCATAGATTATAGGCTTGAATAAACTTAAATAAACAAGTAAAGCAGCATTTGGTTTGTCAGTGTCTGTTAGAGAAACAGATCATGATGCTAAAAATGACATTTTCAGTCTGTGTCAATCGTAATATGGTGACCAGTGTTTGAAAAAACTCTTTTTTTTAATTTTTTTATGCTTCATTCATTGTTTCATTAGTCATTGGAAGGTATGTTCCTTTATTATCAAGAGCACACAAACATTTGCAAATTTTAATGTCATAGCAGATAGAAGCTGTGAAAAGGAGCTCATTTAGCGATCAAGTCTGCACATGTTCACCGCTCATACGACTCGGCTCAGAGATGGGTTTCATTCATTACCAAAGTCATACACTGAATTCCCAACGCAGGAGCTATTTACTAGAGCAGCAAATATGTATTAATCCACTACTAAAAATAGACCTCAGCAAGAGTCGATGAACTGCAGCTGAGAGCAGCAAACAGGGACGTGACTAACACATTGGTGTTTTCCTCTTTTCGTCCGATTTGCCAAAAGGTTGTGTTGCGTTTAAGTAAACACAACCTTTCCTTTGTTTCTTTGGCGAGTGTCCGTGTCATAACAGTGATAAGAAAGGGTGATATCCTCCAGCAGCCTCATTTGGAGACTTTAAGTATCCAGATTGAGAAAACAATGGTCTGGCATCTTATCCTCATGACTCTGCATTATTACTCTGCAGTAACAAAGAGACTTTGGCATTTTAGTGAATCACCAGATTTTCTCATTAAATTACAAACGCTTATATCTGTGAATGAGTTTAAAAGTCGTCATGTCTTTTTGAAATTATCAATGAGGAGATTTTAAAGAGATTTGCATAGATTCTTTTTTTTTTCTTTATTGCTGCCTTTTTTAGCACAGAGTTGCCGGACTGAGTTGGGGGGGGGGGGGTCAGAGGAAAGCGACCACAAATGACTGAAAAGTTCTTTTGTTTGTCATTATGTTCATTATGTTGTACCCTGCCCCATTTTTTTTCTTTCATCCTGCTCTACTCAGAGCTTGGCCACAGACTCTCACGGTGAAAGAGATTGGAGCCCCCCCTCCGCCTCCACCTCCATCTCCACCACCTCCTCCTCCACTCCCACACTCTGTGTCTCTCTGCTTCACTAATTGGTCACATTCAGAATCAACAGGCAGAAAAACAAAGCGTGACATCCTTCCATTCTTCTAAACATCGCCTTGGCCTCACACACGCTCAGCACACATGTGTTGAGTGTGTGTGTGTGTGTCTGTGTCTTTTTCCTGCTTAAACTCTGATTTTCTGTCATAAGCTCTAAACTGGGGATTTTGAATTAATTTCAACAATGTGTGTCTTTGGGAGAGAGTGCACTGCTCCCTCTCCCCCTCTCTCACCCTTCCTCCCACAGATTCTTGAGCACTCTGCCTCTTAATTGGTTTTCCATATTAACAAGCTTGTTTCTTTTGATTCGCCTCCTGAATAAAATGACACTCTTAATCAACGTGGCTTTTTTTGTTCCACCCCAGAGGTCAGTGAAGGCTCAACTCCCCTGGCTAAAGCCCGGGACACACCAGTCTTTTTTTTTTTTTAAACCTCCCAACAAATAGCCTCCACCCATATCCCCTATTAGAGGCCCATCGGTTTTGTAGAAGCCATATGTGTTTGTCTAAGGATGCTCTGCACCATCCCTCTGCTTGCTTTAAGGATGGTTTCTAGGAAAGAAAAATGCTTGTGTGTACGCAGACAGCAGGCTTCCCACAGTGACACCCTGGCATTCCCTGTATGCCAGGCATGCCTCTCCACTCACACTTGTCCAGGCACACAGAGGCCTCTTGAGGAAGTGCTATATGTTCTCCGGAAGATTTCTCCTCATGCCTTTAATTGTAAGGGGAGCTTTAACCTCAAATATTCAAGCAATCCACATAATAAGAGCTATTTTTGTTAAGAGATTGCACAATGCTAATACTGGTCGCTATACAGTTTCTTAGACTATATGTGACGATTTATGATGTCTGTGGAGGTTTTTGAGTGGCAATGGCATGGGGCAGGTTGATAAAATGTATGTAATTAAAACACAGCTGCTATCTAGCTGTTCCTTGTGAGATTAAAATGTCAATCAAAGCCTATTTCATAGAGACCTGCAGTTGTATTAATCCCTTGTCATGGTAAATCTGGCTTTTGTTGTCCCAAACACTCCTAATAAAAAAGGTTAGCGGTAATTTAGAAACTGTGATCCATTACAATTTCTACAAATGTAGATTTTTAAAGGCTCCTGTTGTCTCTGTTGCGATTTCCCTTTAACAATCATCACTTATGGTGTGCATACGTTTGAAGATGCAGTATGTAAAACTGTTGGTTTTTAAGCCATGATTGATTGCCATGATGTTTGTTACTTCATTAGACGTCTGTGTGTTGTGTAGCAGAAATATAACCTGTAGCTAATGCTGGCCTGCACATCAACATTGGGGAAGTCTTTGTATTTATTTTTTTCGTATAGTCCATGGTTACTGTCAGTCATGTCAAGTAAGGGGGTGTCTGTCTCGGTGCGAGTGGCACTCTAGAGCCACACTAGAGTAAAATTAGGACAGCAACCTCCTTGCAACTAGAATTGGTAGCTGCCACATGATCACAACTATCAATGCAATCACGGGGGGGACAGACCGACAGCAAGTAGCTGAGGGTGCTGCCTGCTCAACCAACTGGTTGCCCAGATTGCAAGGCAGTTCACAGTTAGGAGGCAACCTGTCACAAACAATAATGGTCTTGCTTGGCTGACTGCAGTCACGCTTAGTTTTAGATTTGTGAGTAATTGTCATCTAGCTTATAAACGCAGACAGATTGAGTGCAACATGTTGGCAATCTGTGTGAGTCTGCACTCATGAGGTCTCTTTGGAGCAATGAGGTCCAATCTCACTTGGTTGTCCACTGTTTGTATTGTGGTCATATTCCTATTTAATGTGAAGCACCTGTGCCATTTTGCAGTTAAATGGCTGTCCCGCACCAACTACCTGACTATTGCTGGAGGAATTTCTGAATTTCTGTTTCAGTTCTATGAATTTGTAGCTGGATTCTTAATCTAAGTAATTCATATGAATCACAAACAGATTGAGACATTCAGTCACAAACTGGTTGCAGACTCATTCCGTCTTATTGTCGCCTTGATGCACCAAAGTTGCTTTCAAGACAGCAGATGATTGTGAGGGATCACAGATCTTGTTTTTGTCTTCGAAGCTGTCAAAGGCAGCAAGATCAGTCTAGTGCCTCTCATGACGTCAAGGGCTCGAGGCTTTGTCCCCGCAGCAAGCCAAGGTGTGTTTCCTACGAGCAAATCAAGTAGCTTGGTTAATTTTTAATCCTTTAAGAGGCTAAATCATCTTTTTTCTACTATCGCTGTGTGCCTTAGTAGAAAATAAATAGAATGATGTCACTAAAGAGTAAAGTATTCTATTGTGCCATTAAGGTTGGATTTTTAAACTAAAAAGAAATAAAAGCATCAGAGAAACACGTTTCTTACATCTGCTCAGCCAGAAGATTACTTGGAAGTCTGGGGATTTTAGGGGAATCTCCTGAGAAGACAGACTCTACCATCCATACACTGACATCCAACATACGTCAGGTTTTCTGTGTGTGTGACACAGAGAGAGGAGAGAGGGTGTTATCCAAACAGATCTCACCATGGTCTTTCCAGCCATGTAATCCCAGCTGGCTTTCTAGTGTCTCAATGGAGCTGCGGT